ACCACCTCTTTCAGTTTTTTAACTTGCTTTAAAAAGGTTTATGTTCGATTCGATTGTAGTTTTAGTTTTGTAATAGAGATTAATTTATTGTAGAAAAAATAAGTTTTTACAGATGATATATATATATATATATATTAGTATGAGTACAATAAGAAATCTATAAATATCATTAAGTAAAAACTAAATAAAAAAAAATATTTACAAAATAAATAACTGTTTACCCTTTCGCCAACTCACTCATCAAAGAAGTTTCCATCTTTTCAGCCAAATTTGTTTACCTGTTTCAATGTATTTTTCGTAGAATCTTAATAGAGTAAGGCATCGTCGCAAGTCCCTATATTGGAAGATTATGCTTCTTACGTAAGTAAGGTGCTTTAAAAGTAGGTTATCTAGGACTGGAAGGTAATCGATACTGCACAATTTTCGATACTTTAATATTAGACAACGAGGTTTGCAAACGAAAAGGTGTGAAAATATTTCTTATGATTTCGTAAATTCTTTGCATCACCTATTTCCTAACACTTTAACAACTTTTATATTGTACAGTAGGCATTCTATAGCAGTTGATTATCGAGTGCCTGACAGCTGTCACTGTCAAACAAGCTACAAACTTCAGACTTCGAATTTGCTGTCATAAAATACGAATCTGTCAAATTACGCAGTTTTATGTTATCTATCCCTCTTCAACATAACGTAAATACAATTTGACAGATAGAGACGAAATAGTACATTTATAAGTAATTTAGACTGATATAGTTTTTCATGAATCGGGGGTAAATTGCTTTGCTATGATGACATATTATAAATTATGGCACTCGCCAAAAATATTATGAATATTCCTATTCAAAAGTATTTCGAAGTAAAATCACAAACACTGTATGTAAAAAACTCATAAAAAATATACGACACACGCATATAAGATACGAAAATAAGAATATAAATATAACGAACAAAAGGTCGTATTATGTTATTGTTAGTACCGCGTGGCTTTATTAGGCATGATTTTTGTATTAGCTTTTCAAACTTGGAACGCACAGTGTTTGGCCTTATAGCTTGAGTATGCGACCTCATATTACGGGTTTGAACACCGGCTGTGCACCAATAGGCTATTCTAATTGCTTTTTTTTTTTTTTTTTCAAGACAATTCACACCAATTGACCTAGTCCCATGCTAAGCTGGTGAAGCTTGTGTTATGGGTAATAGGCAACGGATATACATACATATTATTATAGATATATAGATATAAATACATATTTAAACACCCAAGACCTAAGCACAACACCAAATGCTCATCACATCGATGTTCGTCTCAGCCGGGGATCGAACCCGGGACCCATGGATTCGCAGTCAGGGGTACTAACCACTAGACCAATGAGTCAATTGTGTATTTAACATTTGTTTGTACGGTAAGGTAAACATCGTGAGGCGATCCTAAGACCCAAAAATCGATGGTCAGGCACAGAAGGATCGCCTGTATATTAGGATAAAAAAAATCACGAAACAGATACAGAAATCTGCGGCAAATACCAAGGGGTGTTACGCCACTGTTTTTTTTACGAATATGGCTTTGCCGATTTTCCTAGAAGTATTTGAAAAAGTCTGAACTATAATTCTATACTTAGTAAGTATATAAAGAAAATAAAAAAAGAGGTGCGTGTACTTATGTACGCGCGTAAGAAGTTCTTTGGCATTATTAAAAATAGTTTTTGATTGCATGCAAATAATTAATTACAATTAAATAATCAAAGACTGGAGTCATTACAGTCAATAAAGTTCAGTTTACATTTAAAAAATTAAATAAATAAATATTTATTATTATTCTCTTACATTAAGTGTAACATAAATTCTATTATTGTTCGAATGTTGTTTTTAAATTATGTGCAATGCCGTAGCATCTTCCGTGGGCAACTTCATTATGTTAATGTTATGTCACGGTGCGTGCGCATCGTAAAATTTCACTCTCATCAATTTTTCATAACGCGCCTAAAGAAGTATAACTTCAAAAATTCTGCTACATTTTCCCCTGAGTAAAAAAAGCTATATTTAGTTCCTTATTTTTAAATAACTAGTATCTAATAACATGTAGTGATGTATTTTTCTTAACATATTAACCAACCTTTCGTTAATTTGAAGTTTTGCTAAGTTCACTTCGTTCAAACGGTAATAGATCAAGGCGTCGAAAGCGCAATCAAGCGTGAAAGATAAAGATTGATAGGATCTTATGTTGCAATTTTAAAATAAAGCTACATTATTTCACATGTAACAATTCATACTATGTAATAAACACAATACAATTGCTGTGCAACGGACTTTCGATTTTTAAAAATAAAATTAATTAGAGGCGCCTTTTTAGTCTGAGTCTGGGCCTCAGATTGCTGTATCTGTTTCATAATAATTTGTCAATGTTAGAGGCAAGTCAATCAGCCTCCTGTGCCTGACACACTTGCGACTTTGGGTCTAAGACAAGCTGGTTTCCTGTCGATGTTTTCCTTCGCCGTTCGAGCGAATGTTAAATGAGCACATAGAAAGAAAGTCCATTTGTGCACAGCCGGGGATCGGACCTACGACCTCAGGGATAAGGCCAAATACATACTATATTTAAATTAAGGCGAATAGAATTTCCTAAATAATGCAAAAACTAATAGTATTTTTCTAAATACCTCATCGGCGATTTACAATTTGCATAGGCAATTAATAATACTTGAATAGACAGTCCTTAATATAATTTCAGTACACGATGTCAAGTCTACGGCAAACTTTGGCACACTGCTTCAATTTATTACATTTTCCAAGTACGCTTCGGGCAATTAATGTACGCTCTCGCTGTTTCTAATTACTCGTTATGATTGATTAACACTATTAAACAATGATGTAACTAGTCAATGAAATATCTCCATATTCTGTGTAGTGTGTGACTGCATCTATGGAGACTACAAACATTTTCGTAATAACGTTCCTTCGTATTGATAATAATGTGTTCTGCGATGTCCAGGAGCATAGATACTACGTATAACGGAACTGACACTAGGGTAGCTTTCAATAAAAATGTCGTAACAATAAAACAAAATTACTTTTTTTTTTCGTCTCTTAATTTTGTTTTACTAAAAAACGAAAATAAGTTTTACGTGTTACCTGGTATCACATCGGCGCTACAATTTTTTGTTATAAGTTAGTTATTTCTTTCCCCGACCCAGTTACTTCAAGCTAGTATTGATTATTTAGAAAAAAAATATTGCCGTAATTAGCCAGGAATCAAACACACGACCTAGCGTCTAAGTTACTGTAAGAATCTACTGGTAAGATACTATTACATTTCATAGCCAAAAATACTACATAATCACTCGCAATTGCATATTTCATAGCCAAAAATATTACATAATCACAAATTACTCGCAATTATCAGCACAGAACTGTAGACTGTCACCGATGGCAAAGCTTCTAAAATACACATCTTGGAGACTTTATTTTCGTAACAATAACATCGTATTGAAATACTTAAACTGCTTCAAATTAAACACGAGAACTTCGCATTCCATTAAGTAGAATTGGCAAAAAGCGTTAGGAATGTAAACACTTTAAACTTTCCGCGGGAGCTTTAAGCAAAATGGAGGGGTAAACAATGTCCTATTCGAAGCTTTCCCGATGGTTATGCAATTCTAAAGCACAGCTTACGATGATTATAAAGTTTTGTTTTGAGTAATGTTGGCCTTAGGTTCAGCAGCTTGGTACGTCGTTGGTTTGAATCCCAGCTGTGCAATGGAGCTTTTTGTATGCGTATTTATTGTGAGTGTCTTAAATCCAAAAAGTCGACAGCGTGTATCAGGTACAGCAAGCTACTTGCCCTTTTAGAAAAACTCGATCACAAAACTGATACAAAAATCTGATCACAAGGGATTATTTATTTATTTTGTTTTTATTGAATTTGCTTTTATTTTTACTGTAATGAAGCCAAAATTTAATAAAGGAATGAACGACGTATTATATTTATTGTATAACAAAGCTCCAATTTTAGGTATAAATGATTATTTTTAAACTACATATGAGACCGCGACTTCAAACTCAAGAAGCTAAACTTGTGAAATACGCATAGTAGAACAAATGGGTACAGTTTGATTAATCAAAAAAAAACGTGAAAAATCATTCGACACGTTTTTAGGTTGAAGTTTAGAAAGTTTTGATTGGAAAACTGAACTCATTGATCAATTGAAATTCGTTTTACAAAAAAAACCTATTACATTGTTTTAGATGGCATGTCAATGCTGGAGTAACATGCCATGTTTTTTTGATGAAAATATTCTTTAACAGAGATTTTTAAATTAATTACAACTGATAAAAATAGGAATAACCTGGTTAAATCTGGTAATCGCCAATCAATCATTTAAATTGTTTTTAAATCAATTTAACTCGTAAATAGAAAATTAAAACTAATTTTAAAAAGTGTACCTTTAATGCTGGTAGCAATTCCTCGCTGTATTGCGATACTTATTCGTTGAGCAAGGAAAACACCAGCTCTGGGGTCACCGGTACTATCTACCTAGCGCGAAATTAAATCTTTTGTTACACGTGCACTTGAACCCTTCAGCAAAAGAGTCTTTACTCCAAATGGAACAAAATCAAAGTTTCTATTTATCAATTTTTATATTATTATTACTATGTATATACTATATATATATACAATTTGTATAACTCAATACTTGGCGATTAAAAAGAGTGGCGGAAAGTTTCTTGCCAGTTCTTCTTACCCGCTCTTCGCCCTTAACTTGCGAACTGGTAGGAAATTTACAATTAATTTAACTTCTTTTTGACGTTCATAAGTGTGCTTGTTTACCTATATGAATAAAGATATTTTGAGTTTGAGTATGTATTAAGAATATTGTAAATAATGTATAATCTTATAATTGTATAGATCACCTGCATAATATATAATATATAGAGCGCATTTTTATTATACACAGACAATATCCAACTAATCCAACGAGTAAAAACGTTCAATTCCACAGAGTTGCCGGACTCGCAGCCAATAGTTCGAGCACAAAAGAGTTGGTACTCCATTGGGGATATGTTACGTGCGAATTGCACGTCTCCTGCGGCTGATCCGCCCGCTAACCTCACCTGGCTTCTAAATGGTTATGAGGTAACTAACGCTTTGTAACATTTTTATTCAGTATCTTTATAGCACTTAATCATATTAGAAGCTTAACAGCTGTTATACGACCCATTTTGTACAATTTGTGGACTATATTTATCAATGTTTTATTTTCGGAAACTACTATATTTCCTTATATTAATATCAAAAATTTAAAACAGTGGGGCTACATCATTTCGTGATTATTTGAGATTGCCTTCTGTACCTGTGACTCGCCCTCAACATGCCGGTTTCCACACAATGTTTTTCTTTTAACGTATCAGCGAGTGTGCACGTAGATAGTCCAGTGGTGCACAGCCAGGAATCGAACCTACGACCTCCATAATGAATTGCGCACGCTCTAGCCACTAGACCAACGCTACCTATTTACAATTTAACCTAAATATAGTAACAATTTAAACTAAAAAAGTGCTTCATGTGAAATGTTTAGCTTACAGTTCAATTATTTATTTATTAAAGTTTACCACATCATACATAGTACTAAATCTACAAGTTACAAACTCTTGTATCTAAAATGTATGACAATTTAGGTAAACCTAAATGTTACACAAAAAAATATATTTAAAAGTACAATTAAATATACAAGATAAAATAAAGGTACAAAAAGAACACCATAATTTTTTTGTTAAGCAGAAGAAAAAATATATTATAGTTCACTGGAATAGAATACTTATAATAACTTTACGGAAACGTTACAATCAAATTCTCTAATTGATAAAGCTATTAAATGTTCTTTAAGTACTACGTTTATTGTACGAATATGACTGGTTTGTAATTAATGTTCTGAACCAGTGATTAACAGGTAACGGTTCTCTATTTTATTCTGAGCTCCGGGCGAACGTAGTTCAACAAACAAAACACGGCTACACTGATAATTAAAATACGAACTCATTAATGGCGATAATTTCTATGGAATTGACAGCTAATTATTGTTTATAATATTGATTTGTACTGCCAGTGCCCTTGCGCGGAATTAATAAGTCTTCATTTGCCATGGAATCAGTACATAGTTAATAGAAATTCAAAGGACATACAATATGCTATAGAGCAGTGTTAGCCTAGTGGCTTTATCTCCGAGGTCGTAGTTCGATCCCCGGCTGTGCACCAATGGACTTTCTTTCTATGTGCGCAATTAACATTTGCTCGAACGGTGAAGGAAAATATCGTGAAGAAACCGACATATCTTAGACACAAAAAGTCGACGGCGTCTGTCAGGCACTAGAGGCTGATCACCTTCTTGCCTATTAGATTTAAAAATGATCATGAAACAGATTTAAAAAAATCTGAGGTCAAGACCTAAAGAGGTTGTAGCGCCACTGATTTATTTTATTTTACAATATGCTATGTTAGCTTGTAAATGACAGCGGTATGTCAATTTAAATCTATTGAGCCTTTAGAGTTCAGAGGTGCTTTACTAGAGGTTCTGTGCTTTTATATTTACATATAATATTTAATGACATTTATTGAAACTCGTAATATCTATTGTCTGTGCTCCGTACTCTTTACTCTATGGCGTAACGAGTAGAACACATTTAAATATAGTTTATTTTAAATATGGAAGACAATAATAGTAACTCGTAATTCGAATTATATTATCTATAATAATAATTAATACTAACGAAACACACAACATAATCTAGGGTTGCCTGGAAGAGATCGCTTATTAGGGATAAGGACGCCCGTTGCATCCCTTATAATTTTTAAGTATTATGTTTCTTATATTATTAGCAACGAAGTGTAAATAAATAAATAAATAATATTAGAAAAGATAAATAAAAAAAAACATGGAAAGAAAAAAAAAGGAATAAGGTACATTTTAAGTGTGTAATGTGTGTGTGTTGTGCTTGTAACTGGCCCTGGCTCAGCATTATGCTGTGGAGCATACACGTTCCACAGCATAATGAGTGTGTTAAATCAAATTACCTTTATTTATATATTGAAAATTAATATTTCGAGATCAAATCTGGAATTTGAAATGGCATTAGAATGTAAACATGTTAACTTCATATAAGTTCCTGATTTAAATATTTTTGAATTGCAATACACACACACTTAATAAAAAACCTAACATCTTACAATATAGATCTGTTGACTATTTTTATTAATTGTTATGGGCCAGCCTTGCGATTCTGTAACTCACTTTTCGAACTCTCACAGCGGTCTTCACAGCGGCGGTCGCGCCCAAATCAGTCGTAAAGCAGTCATTTTACGATTCGGCATTCTGGAATTTGGCATGAGGAGGGAGCTTGTAGTTTGTTGTTCGATAAGTGAGTTACAGAATCGCAAGGCTGGGGACAAACAAGCAGACGACACACTTCGGAAGACATGTCTTGACTCCAACACCGAGAGATATACGTGTGTCATGCAAAATCCCATTAAGTTTTAGAATATATATCTGTATTGTTACAGGTGAAAGGGCTAGATATACCACCACCCGATGCATACCGGAAGCAAGTTATAAGCGACGCTTCGTTAGAAGATGCAAATAGAATTATATTCAGCCCTTGGGATACAGGCGAGGAGTCAGTTACGGTTGACGTACGCATAGATGATATATACGAAGGCACTACCCGTGCAACTAGATACGAAAATAAGACAAATAGTGAGGAAGAGAAGTCTAATAGGACGTCGTCTTTCAGTCAACTTATAATCAGAGTGCAATCGTCACACTTTCAAAAGGTAGCATATTTTACGCTTGCTTGAATAATATTTACAAAGAAAATTTTAATTCCCATGTGTAGCTGACATAAGTGCAAATGTTTAAATAATTTAATATATAAAATTCTCGTGTCGCGGTGTTTGTGGTTAAACTCCTCCGAAACGGCAAGACCGATTCTCATGAAATTTTGTGTGCATATTGGGTATGTCTGAGAATCGGACAACATCTATTTTCATCCCCCTAAGTGTTAAGGGTAGTCCCACCCCTAAATATTTTTATTTTATTTTTAGATATTTTTTTCAAAAATACATACAACCCCTATTTTTCACCCCTCTACGATCAACCCCTATTTTTTTATTATAAATGATATACATGGCAAAACGACGTTTGCCCGGTCAGCTAGTATTATTATACTTCTTTGCCCAAAATTTTGACAAGTCCACCAAGTGTTGATTGTTAAAAAATTTAATGCAGAGCCGTGTTTCGAACGCCAGGTAACAGTTTAAATCGTGCGTAAAATGAAAAAAATAATTAACGTGCCTTTAGCTTAATTAACGTAAAAAATACTTCGCAAAGATTTTAAAACAATGCCTTTTATAAACCTTACACTAAAGTTCAATGAAACAGAGAAGTGAAACAAAACAGTATACAAACATTAATTACGCTGAGCGCTTGTTGAGTTTTAAATATGACACATAAAAAATGTAGGGAAACATAATTTTAATGAGGCTGGAGATTTTTTTTTTTTTTATGTAACAGAAGGTAGGGCAGGAGGCTCACCTGATGTTAAGTGATACCGCTATCCATGGACACTCACATTGCCGCAAGTGTTGCCGGCCTTTTAAGAATTGGTACGCTCTTTTCTTGAAGGACCCTAAGTCGAATTGGTTAGGAAATACTTCAGTGGGCAGCTGGTTCCACATAGTGGTGGTACGCAAGAACTGCCTTAAAAAACGCTCCATATAAAAATGATACTGTTACTTAGCGTGTTCATAATTTGTGTTTTTAACTTACCACAGATCTCTATCCTTTACGACTCTTTTCCAGTTGTAGCCTAGATTAGTTTAGCTAGTGATTCAGGAGTTCTTAAAGTCCTGGTATTGCGAGATGCTATACATATATGTCGGAGATTCAACGCGATTAATAATTACAAAGTTGATATCACTACCGTCGGCCGACATTATTACTTAATATTTAAACACAGTCAGTGCGCACGTCCGGCGCAGGCGCCGGTCGGAAAGCAACTCTAGCACTTCACGACCGATTCTACGTACTACTGACAGTTTGACTTTGACAATTGATACATTGACACTTTACAACCTGTAAGATGTCCATGATATTGCGTGGTGTTGCCATTGTAATCAACAAATTACAACGAGTTCTATTATAACCTAATCTCTGACATATATATATATATGTTTTTTTTTTGTTAGAGGGTGGTGGTCTGGTCCCACATTTTACAGCAGTTAAATCTCACGCCTTCTTAAGCGCTTCTTTAAGTTCAACATTTAATAGTATAGAACTAAAATTCTTACTGCTATTTATAAGCATTGATTTTAAACCTCCTGTGAACAAGAACTTGGAGGTAACCGGACAATAACAAGCTAATGGGTCCCAATTCCCTTTTTCACTTAAGAGGCTTTGGGTGTTTTCACCTTTTTAATTTATAAACTTTGATACTGAAAACAGGGTCGATCTAAATGGTCCGAATAGAATTTGAAATTTGAAATGAATAATAAATAATTTAGACCGAATAGTTAAATTCAGAGTTAGATCCTAAAATCTCGCAAAACGGATTATAAAACAAAAATGTTTTTATTTAATAAAAGGCTACGCACTGAGCCTTTGAGCATTGTGAGTGTCCGTGGGTATCACCTCATACCAAGTGCTCCTCCTGCTTCTGCTTTATAACCTCATGTTAAGAACGTAACTAAAAAAAATCAAGTTAAAGTCGGGTGTCCCCTTTTCCCTAAGAAGGCTTTGGATATCAACGAATTTAGTTTCTAAATATATTCTTTACATTTCATATTGGAAATATTGAAGTCCCTTCACTAGTTTTTAAGAAAAAAGATTCACGTACCACGCTTTACAAATAAAACCTCATTGGACGTTTGAAATGCATTCCATGTTTCTAACCCAATAAGGCTTATAATAAAGCCTTCGACTAGAAGTAGTATTCGTTGCTAACGTTATAGTAATTTTTTCATCTAAAATCCATGGTAACAAATATATAGTTTGTGCTTTATACGATTGCTTAACAAAGGCAACGCAATTGCGAGCCCTCTGACAATGTGAGTCTGGCAAGGTGAACTTCTGGTCCATTAAAAAAAAGATTAAGGCTTTGAACTATGTTCTACTTTAAAGGATTAGTTAAGGCAGTCACCGATAAATATAAATCCACCATATTATTCTAAGTGCTTTCAATTGTGTGTGACACTGTGGAAATAGTAGGAATTTAATCATAGCATTAATTTAATCACATAGTAGTTGAAAAATTAATTCTAAATATCTTTAGTTGCTTAAATCCAGTGTCCAATGTCTCGGATAATTAACTAGACTGGCCCAATTTGGAAACCAAACCAATGACGTAATAGAGCTTGCGCTGTTTCACTTACACAGAATCTAATCTATAGTATTCATTTGGCAGAGCCACAGATACTCGTACGTAAACACGAAAGATTCAAAAGAAATACAGATAACTAAGTGTAGTGAAATATTATATTTTATAGAATACTCGTATCTGTGTCTTAGGGTTTTACCTGTCATAATTTAATCAAATTTAACCTATACTCTTTTAATTTAAAATTAGTCGAAAAATAGTATAGATAATTTTTACATTTCTAACCAGTAGTCAAACAAAAGAACAAACTTTTTAACATCATGAACAAATCTATGTTTGTAAACTATTTTAATTTGTATGTATTATCTAAATCATTGTGTTTGTACTTAAAATAAATTTAAAATCAAAACTACTTAACAATGTATCTCACACATTGCACAGATTAGAAAAAGCCTTCAGTAGTGACAGTTGACACCTTTAAACTATGGTTTTTACGATCGATTAATCAAATATGTAGCTTATAAATTAGCAATCATCCCTATTTATTTATATATTAATAATAATAATAGTATATTATTTGCAAATATGCTGCTTAAACTCAATTTATAATCTATATTGGTATACATACTCTTTCTTCCATATTCAATTAAATCCTTGTTATAAACTATTTGGTCTCTATGGGTATTATGGCTCTGTAAATCCTATTTAATCTGTGCAGGGTCGTTTAAACGTGACGTGTGTGGCACGCATTCTGTCTGTATGGACCAACAGTGGAATACTCATTTTGGATGAGGAGCGACCACAGATTGCACCCGTAATGGGAAGCCGGGACTCCAATTCTGGTAAACTGTTATAGCTGCACTTGTTAATGTAATCTTTATTTCAGCGGGATTAGAGACAGACTATATAATGGTTAGGATACAGAATAAGGTTTATATTCTGTGGTATTGTTTGGTTAATTGGATGGCGGGAAAATTTTGAATTAATCCTGATTAATCTAGCTTTCAAAAGCCCTTTTTAATTTAGATAAGACCTAAAAGTTAAACGTTTAATGAAATTTAGGTCCGTTATACAATGTTATTTTTACCTGTATGTATTTTTATATTTAGTATTTTCGTGTCAATTTAAGTTTGTATTTTATTTTTAAATTTATAATATTAATGTTTGGGTTGTCTGAAATGAATGATTTTAGCAGTAGGTACAACCGCCCATTTATATCCTTTATCTTCATCTATTTATTTTTCTCCTGTTTCGTGTTATTCTGATGTAAATAAATTGTTGTTTTGTTTATTTAGGAACATTGTTGATATGATATCTCTATGAGTTAAATAACCCCTGCCGATTTTAATTTAACGTAATTAATCTCGGGGAAATCGCTTGTAAGTGATAAAAGCCTGCTAATGAAATAATTAATGTTATATTTCCTAACAGGAATTAAGTATTAAAAGCTTTTCCACTGTAATTCCAAGCAATTAAGTACGTAATATAACGTTTTATACGGGAATAATCCAATCTGGAGAGTAATATCAAATTACTAAACCAATGAAATCAATTCTAATCCTCGAAAAATGATGACGTGGCGTTTTCGATCCATATAATTTGAAAGGATTTCGTTTAGCCACGCAAGCGAATCTGAAAAGGGTTTTTAGAAATTAATTTGTTTTTTAAATATATTTTCATTGTTTTATACTCAATTTTATAATTTGAAATACAATACTTTACGATATCATTTTGTTTTGTTTTCGTTTACTATAACTGAACTTATGCCTTCTGCTGATAGAGGACAAATCTTTGTTTTTAATTTATGTTATTATTATTAATTACTTAAATTGTCACATGGGACATGGTGTAATGGTTGCAGCTCCTTACAAACATTTTGTAAAACAAAAAAATGGCGATTAAAAAGAGTGGCGAAGAGTTTATTGCCAGTTCTTCTCTCCCGTTCTACGCCCTTGATTTGAGAACTGGTAGTAAATGTAAAATTAGAAGCATTAATATGTATTTCTTTACTGACAAGTCATAAGTGTACATTATGTTACCTATGTGATTAAATGATTTTTTATTTTATTTTATTTTATTTATTTACTGAAATCACTTTTATTTCTTTACGTAAATTTTGTAAACGCCTGCTTTAAAGCATTCGAGTTACGTAATTAATGAAATAAAATATTTATAAATTTTCAAATATAGTATAGATTATATAATATAGCTTTATGAGATTTATAAAAATATAATCATTTATTGTATATGTTATATGTACGTTTTGAACTACCGCTTTGATGAGATGCGTAGTCTACTAATATGACGATTTGTCTTTAACGTTTAATGAATTTTGATGATTTTTGTAATAGAGACGTATAGATAAAAGGGACTCATAATTTGGGCAGGAATTATGTTTCTTAGGATTCTTCTTAGCATATTTTTCAATCTGAAATTACTTACTATATCTATAACTTTTCTTAACCTAATTGTATGTATGATTTCAGGACAAACGGAACTTATTTCGAGCGCCTCTATACAAGCAATCTGTTTAATACTTTTATACCGGTAAGTATATATATAACATTACCTTAGTGGTAATCGCAACATATCGATTCCTAGAAAAACAAATGAAAAAATTGGAAAAACAATGTTTGGTTTAATCAAAAAACGGGAGACTTTCAATCAACTATCACGACATTTATACACATATATAGTTAACAAACTAAACTAACAATTAAACTATAATAATATTATGTTAGGTTAGTTAAGTACCTACCTACACAGTTAATCAAATCTTTAACAGATATAAATATATGAACATTAACATTGTTTAGTGTATTCAAAGAATTTAACACAATAAATTTTCAATATGAAATAAACAAAAGCTCAAGCGAAAGCTTCCCACAATAGTTTGAATGTTTCACAAAGGAAAACATTTCTAAGTAATAAAGTCCTGGCATTCCCTGTATTGGGACTTTACCGATAACTCGCAGACAACACTTGCTGGCAATGTTCGATATTAAGAGCAAATCAATATTAACTTTGTATCACTTCGTAAATATTTTAATGGTACGCAAAACACACGAACTTAAATGACATTAAAAAAGGATTGTAAATTTTTAAAGGCAAGATGCCTATACAGGTGTCCCAAATTTATGGGGAAAATGATTAATTTCACGCTTTTCCTTTCTTTTAAAATACTATGTTACTTAAGAAGAGTTATTAGTATTTGGCCATTCTTTCGATTGGCATCATAATAGTAGGGGTGTTATTTTTTACATTTAGGTCGGTTCGATTCCTAGACGAGGCAAGTAATTTTTAGAAAATTTTTGATAATCTGAATACAACTTTTGCAACTAAACGATTTATCTATGTATTTGTTATTTAATCAACCACAGATAAATAATAAAGTACAGACAATAGAACTACCCTATTGTAGGTCACCCAGATGACAGTTTCGTTCAATTATTTCTAACAGAAACAGATGACTTGACTAGAGTTACATTGATGACAGGACAGGTTGACAATCTGTTAATAAGATGCTATAGCTGGATAACATTGCAATTTGCTTCTTTAAGTAAGAAATATATTACAGCTGGTTTAAAAATGAAAATTATCGCTCACAATAGCTACGTTCGTATATTTTCTGTTGAAAAGGAAATAACATTAAGGACAGACCGTGACCATACTAACTGTAAAACGCGTGGTTCGAAAATGTATTGTCTAACCGTGGTACTAATTTGCTTTGAAAACAACTGTTATTTTAATTAATGTGTTCGTAAAACAAAAGAACGACTTTTAATTGTTTTCTCTATGATCTAAACATACCAACCCATCTATCTAAATCTAGAGCTCATTGACAATGTCAAATGTAAATTGTCACAAATTAAATACAAAATATTATATAATAATGGATGCTCAAAACCGCTGTTTTTGACGATATTAATTATACCAAAATTTCGCTTACTTTGACGTTTACTCGTGCATAATTAAATGCAGACTATTATTAATTGCATATACATATATGAAATAGTATTTCTATTGTACTAACGATAAATATATAAACAATAGAGATAGTGTTTTTTATATATACTTTTATAACTTATTCTGAAATTAATCAAACTTTAGAATAGAAAGAAAAACAATGTTTTTCCAACTCTCTCTATCTTGAGCATTTTTCTCCCAATCTTCCCCACCAACTAATTTCAGTTCGTCAGCCCATCGTGCAAGAGGGCGACCGATGATATTTTTATATATTAATCACAATTTTCTTTTTCAGGTGGAATCGATGATGAAAACTTGTTTTTTGTAATTCTCAGTCGGTGTTAGACTAAATTTTATTACTGTAGTCGATTAATATTTGTAAAAAAATTGTGAAGTTAATGTGAATATATGTAGTTACTAGGTGCTGTATATTAATTTATGTTTTAAATAAGTTGCAATTTCATTGTATATATTTTAAATGTAGATTGTCTATGAATAGAATTTTGCTTAACTTTATGTAATTGTTATTGTTATAAGTAAAATAAACTCTCTGTTTGTAACTGATTTTTATTTATTAAAGCCAAAAATTAAAAACAATATCGAGAAATTTCATCACATCACATAGTATATCTATGTTATTTGTTACACCTATGTCTTATAAATGCCGGGGTGCCATATTATGATATATATATAGTAAAAGTAGTTTATACATAACAACGAGACATCCATACTTCTACAATTTTAAAATAACGCATTTATCTGTATTTTCTTATGAATATATCTATATCTGTACGGTTCATAGATCACTTTTCTTTGTAGAGCTATTAAGTCTTTAGTTTTCTTCCATTTTTGGGCCTAAAACAAGCCACACGAGGAAATGTCAATTGCCTTAACGGAAATAGAAATCCGTCAGCGCACAGTAAATTCTAACCAAAAACCACAGATCAGAAAAACGTCAATCGTATAAAAAAATTGTAGATAAAGAGATTACCTGTTTGGCTTAAGGCTAATAACAGGGGCCTTAGTCAAGATGCCTTAACAGTAGTGTATGTTGAAAGTCAGAAACGAAATTTGTATGAAAACTTTTCGACACGAACTGTCATTTCCATACAAATTTAGTTTTCGACTTTCTACATACACTACTGTTAAGGCATCTTGACTAACCCCCCTGGATTGGTTTGTGGACTCATGTTCCGCACTTAGACTCTAAGTAGGTCCATTGTACGTGCTAATAAGAGGAACAGCTGGTTTCAACAAAAAAAAAGTGTTGGCCATTCTATTGAAGCCAGATTATATACACTATGGAAAAAATGTTATTTCATTGACAGAGTAAAGCCACAGACTATAAAACATTACTTTCGGGATGACGCGAAAGCTCAGCTACTTTCAAAGTGTGCAGCAATAACAAAATGGCCGATATCAAAGTTTAGACAAAAGTTAGGTTTATTAACTTTATAAATTATGTTTCAAACTGCTCCGTTCTGAAATATTTGACTGCGCCAAATCCAGGATTATTCGGGTCACACGGAATAGCTTAGAACATCGCGATGCACGAAAATTAAGTATTCCACTTGAGGTATAACTATTACTGTTGAGACATTGAGTTAACGTGCAAGTTCTGTGGGGTTAATTTTAACATTCTATTATCTTTGCTCTTAAGTAGTCTGTAAAATTATTGAAATTGATCAAACTTATCGTGCTGTTTTGCTTATGTCCATTCGGTGGAAGCGTAGTGTTTAATAGTCTGTAGTACGTCTAATTCTCAGTTTTCAATTTGAACAAACATGCGATATAAGTAACTATAAAAGGCCGGCAACGGACTCGAGAGCCTTCTCGCAATGTGAGTGTCCTTAGGCGGCGGTATTACTGAACATCAAGTAAGCCTCCTGCCCGTTTGCCTAACAAACTCTTCAACATAAAATTGTACAATATTTAAATCTACTTATGTAATGGAAATATACTTGTTAAAGACTAAAGTTACACTAGGTTAGACATGGTTGCTAAGTTATTTATATTACTTTAGATTAAGATAATTAATTTGTCATCAACTCAAAGCAAATTTTTTTTTGTTGATTGATTGGTCATTTTTATTGCGAAGGTTTATACACAAATTTTCGATGAAACCAATTTTATTACTTGATCTTTGAACATAATATATAGGTAAATAGTCCATATAAGATGCAGGCCGTATAAATTGTGCGGTTTCTTTTGTTATCCAAACATTTTTTGTTTTGCACAGATTATACTTATAAACACGTCATTAAATATATCTTCATCCCCGAGGATCAAACGTAAACATAATATAATTAACTGAAATTACGGACATGTAGACGCAGCTGTCAAATTATAAAAAAGCAAGTGACATGGGTTCTTGTGACGTACAAACAAAAAAGGGACCTACGAAGATTAACCTACGCTATCGGCCTACTCTTTCGGAAACGTGACATGTTGTAGAAATTATTTAAATATCTATTATTATTATTAAAGCTTTATTAATCCACACAACAATTGGTTAGTTTACATTTCCTTAAATGAGTATTAGTTGTGTTCTAAGATCTAAAAATTTTAAGTTAGATTCTTTTTAGTGGTCTAAGTTTTTATGGCCCCTTTTAGGGTATGTACTTTTCTCTTGTTTTCCCCGTTCTATAACGTCAACTGTCCATCTTTTCTTTTGTCCTCCTATACATCTCTTTCTAGTAGGTCCAGTCCATTTTGTTATTTCAACGGTCCAGCCCTCTGTTACACAAATAACTATACAAAATGTTTAAAAACCAATCTACGTATTGGAATTTCCCTGACATTTTTCACGATCAAATTATGATGGTAGATCTTTCTAATCACACGCAGTAGATTTTTGGGCTTAAAGAAAAAAAATACATTTTTTTAAATTAAAGAACACATATATATAAAAGAAATACAAACACAATTACTTAAGTCAAGCTCAACTTAGCTTTTAGTTGCTGTCACCAGCAATACTGATTTTCAGTGGATCCATACTAAAATAATTTAAAAACAGAAATAAGATAAATTTTTAATGTTAGGAAAATCAATCTTTTTACACGCTTTATATTAGCTTCACCTGTATGTATGTATGTATGTATGTAACCGACTCCTTCGGACTCGATTTTGACCCACATTAAACGGACAGATTTAATTTAAACTTTGTACACTTATAAAGAATCAGCGACAATATAATAATTTCATAGGTTTATCTCGAAAAAACAATGAAATTTTTTTAAGTCCACAAAGCAATACGATTAAATTGAGACAACACGTATTGCGGCTAGGACTAAAAAGTGGAAAATAAATATAGTTAAAAAAACTAAAAAACACGCTTTTAAAGCACATCAAACTAAAAAGTGAAAAATAATTCCTAATTTAGGCTGAAAATGGTAATGAACAAAAAATACTGGTATTATTGTGAAAAGCTTAAATGTGCACGGTTTAATTGCGCACATAAAACAAACGGTGGTAACAACTGGGGCTTAAATCTACGAGTTCAAAGTTCCTTGAGAACGTACCTTGCCAGGGCACAAATCAAGTCGACTATTAGATTAGCCCAATTAATGTAATGTAACGAATCCA